GCAAAAACAGGAAAAAGATTGTTTTACACTGATAGCAGATGTCAAGTATAGGACATGGACATCACTGTCTTTCTCGGCTTCGGTGTGCTGGTGGTCTGTCTCATCTTGGATGTGTTAATTGTATAATTACAGCAATAGTTGAAACTGCTATGTAGCTGGTGTGAATCGATGCTGAGCAGGGATTATCAACTGGAATGAGACAGGAGACAGTGTCCCAGTGAGAGCCCCATGGTATGTTTACATATATGGTGTGGGAGGTGAGTAAGATCCATATTCAGCACAAGGAAAGATAAGGAGCACCAGAGAGCACTCCAGCAGGGTCTAATCCAAACATTTCGGACTTGAGGAGTACCTATCTGTATTGATAACCTATGCCTTGATGCAGCCACTGATAAATTCCTGCTGCTTGTCATCTTTGACTTATGGGAATTTTAATGTCACTTGACTACTGGAAAAATAAATTTCAGACTGTCTCCTGTCTGAGTGGTGGTGGTATCCATCAAAACATTCATGTGCATCCTAAAGGGGATGAAAAATCAGCACGTAGACTGATCGCCGAGTCCAAGGTCTTTTAAATGTTTCAGTAAAACCGAACCCTAAACTAAACTTCAGAAGCAGTGCATTTGAGGAAAGACCTGATTAATTCTATCCATTTTTCTGCTACTTTTTCTGAAGATAATTTCAGCACGCATGCAACATACCAATAGAATTTTACAGACTGCTTTTCAGGCAGGAAACAAGAAGGTGGGCCCGTAAGTGAGAATACTGACATTTCATGTCTTACCATCAGCCGCCCTCACTGTTGCAATTTTAAAGATATTGGGGAGATGGCTGATATGGTGTCCACCCATGCACTAATTAGGCCCCTTAAGTGGGCAGTTAATTCCCAATTAAGGGTCTCATCCCACTGTAGCTGTGATTCAGTGTGTTGGAGAAACTTGTGCACACGGTTTGGCCTGGTAAACTTTTTAAAATTTCCTGTGTCTACCTTCTTCCTCCTGTCAATTCCCGCCCCCAACTCTACTTGCTGGGCCTGGAGGTATCTATGGCTTTCCTTCCTCCAGGGCCTCCTGCAATACTGCTAGTGATCTCCGATCCTGAGAGGCAGGAGAGACATGACTGGAAGTCCCTCCTGGTAATAATTAAAGGGTGGTCACCTTAAAAATTAATGTAGCGTGATCCAGCTAAGTGGAGGTGATAGACCTACAAAATCTATGTTGGGCTGAAGGCAAACTGATATGGTATGGAATAAGGTAGGCATATCAAGTTCAGAAGAAGTTCAGTTGGATCCTGTACATTAGTTTAAAATATTTAACCTTAAATTCAACTCGAGTTGAGTGGTTTGTTATTTTTGCTGATATCTAGTTTTGAATGACATACGTGTTTTTTTTTTCAGTTGAAGTACATTCTTGATCCTTTTCCTAGATCAGTTATCTTTGCTGTTTTCCATCTGGAACTGGAATCTAAATGCTGCCTTGCAACTTCCAGTTACTATCGTGACACATCCAGTAAACTTTCTTGTGCTTTTGAATGGTCAAGTTATATTTGGCTGTAAACAGAGTAAAATGGCAATGTCCAATGTTTCTGTTTAGAATGAAGTCTTTTCCCTGACATGGATTAGTCTTAATTAATAGACAGTGTAAGTGCCATACACATTAGTTGGGCCAAATGCTGTGTGTTCTACTTTCATATATTTCCCTCCTTGATCACATTAATCCAGGATTTCAGGCTTCCTCCACATAATCATAGCTCTGAGTTGATGAAGAACATTCAGACTCCAGCTATTCGTTGAGGAAGTACAACATTATCAAAGTAAATATGAATTTTGCTGACCATATCCACAGTAATTGTGAAATGTTTACACCATTGGGTAATGTATTTTATCTGAAGACAGTTTAGATATGTATTCAAACTGGAAATTGTTTTCGCTGCTTCACCATGCTTCTTGGACTGTTCACTTCTATTTTGGGGAAAATCTCAGTTAAAATATTATTTTACAAAATTTATTTTCAGCATAATGGAGTGTTCTGACTATATATTCTTCCATCTCTGCTGACATTTGCTGCTTTCTTTTTGAGTATGAGTTGCATTGGTCAGGAGGGTGCCTACAAGTCTTCATCGTTCCATTTTCTGTCAGTACATCTGCTACATGTATATCACACCTAGCCCGCCAGACCTGCTCAGATTGGAATTGTTCTCACTTTTTTCCACGGATGCTGTTTCTTTTCTGGTGTATCTTTTGGCAGTTTTGCCTCAAAGACAGAAGGTCTGTCGGCCACATTTCTCACCATTAAATCTATGCTAATACTATGATGTATGACTGGCTGAGCATTGCAATATTGGAAGTGCTACCTCACTTCAGGTGTACTTTAGTGTTCATGTGGGACCTTTTTTTGCAAGGAAGATCAGAGTTCTCTATTTGCCTTGATCAATCTATCGTTATTGACTGCCAAAAAAAATTAACTGTTATTTGAGATCTTGATACTTGCAATATGTTTTGGTAACCAGAGCTAAACAAATTCATTTGTTCCTTTTTAGTCCAACCAAAGATGTCACAGCTGTATAAATGCAGTTCTTCTTTCCTTCTGTCAACATTATGTAATAATTGTAACTGTTTGAAACCCAAGGCACTGGCACTTTCAATACAATTGTTTTATCTCTTCTAAAAACAAAATGTCCTCTGCACGGCAGCGGGGCTGAGTTGATTGCATTTGCCAAGACTTATAAGGAAGATAATGAAATGTATTTGCATTTGGTGGTTTCATATGCTTTCATATTGCTTTCAGTTGCTTTCATATGCACCACTGTGCATTATACTGGTTATTAAATTAGTCTGAAATACCAATAATTTTTGAACTTTTTTTCTTCTCCTAACAGGAGCAGGCCATCCAGTCCCTCAAGCCTGTTATGCCATTCAGTGAGATCATTTCTGATCTGTGACTTAACTCCATATCCCTGCCTTTGGCCCATTATCCTTTAACACCTTTGTGTGACAAAAAATTACCTGAAATTTTGAAATTTAATATACCATACACATTCAAAAAAGATTATTATTCACATTTTGAAATTTATTGTAACCCTCCTTATAGTTATCATGTGCTCTGAAATAGAGATTTTGCTGATTTGAAAAATGTGACGTTAAGAAGCTTGTAGCTGAATATCAGGTCATGTTCACTGCAGAAAATGGCCTTCCTATTTGTGGCCACTATAAAGTGGAAATTTAAAAATTTAAAATTCTGAAAGAGAAACACAGCCCATCTCAGTTTCTGGTTTTAACAGATGCAGGATAAGGGGTAGATGACCAATCCAGTCTGAGATATTTACAGTCATTTCAGAACTTTGTGAAACTGTGAGCCTTTGATTTTACACTGGTTCCATTTTCAGCAGTCAGCTGTGTTTCCCTCTCTTTGGAAATACAGCAAGCAGACTCCCCTCCTACCACCCCCAAATCAGGCATGAAACTTAGAGAGAAAGGTGAAAAGATACCCTGCAGTTACTGCATGATATTTGGGGACCCTTACCTCTAGCTGTCCTGCTTCTAAGTCTGCCCTTCATTGCTGCCACCAGCAGACCCACCTAAAGACATGCGAAATACATTCTAAAAATAGGCCCAGGGCTAGTTTTCCAGTTGAGATCTAACCAGTGATTTATGAAGGTTGAGCATAAAGCCCTTGCTAGTGTAGGAACATTTGGTTTACTGTTTTAGATAGGCTAAGTTTTTGCCCAGGATTTTCCATGACCAGTTAGGTTAGATACATGAGTAAGGAAGGAGGGTTATAAGTTGACTCCATTTTTACACAGAGAATTGGCTTGTAAGATTTTAGTAGATCTGTCTCCTCGTTCCCAGGAATGTGAGATGCAGAAAGAGAAAAAGTGGAAAAATAATGGAAAAACAAAACAAAACAAAACTTCTTGAAAGAAATAATATTGTAAATATTTTTACAATTTTTTAAAAAAATTCCCTCATGGGACTTGAGTGTCACTGACTGGCCAGCATTTATTACCCATCCCTAGTTGCCCATGAGAGAGTAGTATTGAGTTGCCTGTGTGCAGCCAAAAGAATTAAATGCAGACATTTTAACTAGTGACTAGTTTAGAAAGCTTTCAGTATCAATTTGTTCTGTTCTGTAATGGTTGTCATGTGCTCCTATTTGTGACCATAAGGAGGTCTACAGAAACATTCAAAATATGAATAATAATTTTTTGAATGTGTATGGTATATTAAATTTCAAAATCTCAGGTAATTTTTTGTTACACAAAGGTATTAACAGTAATGCCCACCTGAGACATTTTGAGCTGTCAAAATTATCCCCATTGTGTCCAATTCTGGACATCCCATTTTATGATTTCAAAGACTTGGTGAAGTGGCAGAGTAGATGAATATAAGATGAATAGTACTTCACTTGTGTAATGTGATCGAAGAAGGTCAGTTTGGATTCTCCTTTTAACATAGGAAACGTTATAGGTAGATTTAATAAAGGTATTCAAAAGTTGGGTCCTTATTTAAAATAAATAAAAGGAAACTTTCCATTGGTAAAAGGGCCATTGATAACCAGATTGGACAGTTAAAATAATTGGTAAAAGTACCAAAGAGGAGATGAGAATTTTAGTTACGTAGTAAGGTTATGATGATCTCTGATACGTTGGTGGATGCAGATTCAGTTGTAACTTTCAAAAGGTAATTGGATAAACACTTCAAGTACAAAAATCTGCAGGGTTATGTGGAAAGAGTAAGGCGTGAGACAAATTAGAAACTGTTTCAAATTGCCACCAAGATGGGTTGAATGATATCATTCTGTGCTGTATGATTCTAGGATTATTGTCATCTCACCTAGCCTGCCTAGTATCCCTTATGTGTAGCAGTAAACTTTTTTACTGTTCAACTTCTCCAACTGCAGCTCTCTGTAGTTAAATAATGAAGTAATCTGCATAACAATTGAAATTTGCAACCTGCTTATTAGGCTCATCGCTGGAATTTCTATTTGTAATTTGTTTCTTAGATCCTCGATGAGATCACTGAACATGGGATCAGAATCTACCAGCTTCCAGATGCAGATTCTGATGAAGATGAGGAATTCAAGGAGCAGACCATGATTCTGAAGGTGAGATACTAATAAATTGGTAGCAGCTAACTACTGCATTGTAGAAGCAGAGCAGACCAGGCAAGGTGGTTGTGAGAAACAAGTTTAAGTGAAGTGGAGTGAAATTCCATTTGAATATAGAGAATAGAGTCTTTGGGGGGAAGTTCAGAGCTGCATTTTTGAGTTGGTTCCACTGAGGCAAGCAGATCCTTAAATTGTGTTGCCGATTCCACACGGAAATGGAATCAACTCTCCTCTAGAGAGCAGTTTACAGAGGTTCAATCAAGCTCCGGTTTGACAGTTGAAATCCTTTCAGTCAAAAAAACCTTGTCATTCCTTAGCTTTTCTCTTTAGTTTTCATATACATAGTCTGAAAACTGAAAATCCCCTTCTGTTAGGTGTGAGTTATGCATTTCATGCTGAACATTTCAAACCAAGGGAGAAGTAGAAAGATTTAGGTGTCCAAGTACCAAAGTCATGAAAAGCTCGTAAATGGATGCAAAATTTTAAAACAGTAGTGGATTGCTTTGCTATTATGTCAAAGGAAATGAAATATAAATATTTGAAAGTTATGCCAGAGTTGTAGAAAGGTCTTCTCTAGATCAGGTCTAAGTACTGCAACCTGTTCTATGCACTACATCTTAGAAAGCTGCATGAGGGAGTGCAATACAGGTACAACAGAGAGGTATGAGGATTTAAAGCATTAACTTATAAGGACATGTTTAATAAACTAGACTTCTATTCCCTTGAGTTTAGGAAAGTTAAGGGGTGATCTAATTGGTGTTGTAGGTGATTAGAGGCTTTGATATGGTCAGAGGATTTGCTCTGGTAGGGTATTTCAAAACAAGCAAGCAAAATCTTGAGTGTTGAATGAGTGTTGCAGAACCAAGACTGTTAATTGATCAGTCATAGTCTAATTCATGAGAACAGTTGCAAGGGACTGAATGGCCTGATCTTGTTTGAATGCCCACCAGATCAAAAGTTCCCTTTCCTTCTAGGCCAGTGTCCCCTTTGCTGTGATTGGCTCCAACCAACTGATTGAAGTGAAAGGTAAAAAGATCCGAGGTCGCCTTTATCCATGGGGAGTGGTTGAAGTGGAAAACCCAGAACACAACGACTTTCTCAAACTACGCACAATGTTGGTGTAAGTATCTGTCACTAAAACAAATTGCATTTTGCACCGTAACTACCAGTAGGATCACAGAGTCATACAGCACAGAAACACACACTTTGGCCCAAGTCGTCCATGCCAACCAAGTTTCCCAAACTAAACTAGTCCCACTTGCCTGCGTTTGGCCCATATCCCTTTAAACCTTTCCTGTATCTGTATCTGTATCTGTCCAAATGTGTGTTAAATATTGTCACTGTACCTGCATCTATCATTTCCTCTGGCAGTTCATTCCACACACGAACCACCCTCTGTGTGAAAAAGTTGCCCCTCAGGTCCCTTTTTAAATCTTCCTTCTTTCACCTTAAAAATATACCCTCTAGTTTTGAACTCCCCAACCGTAGGGAAAAGACCTTTGCTATTCACCTTCTCTATGCCCTTCATGATTTTATACACCTTTATAAGGTCACTTCTCAACTTTCTGTGGTCCGTCCAGGCTATGCTGCCTCTCCTTAAGTAAAATCCTCCAGAGCCCCAGCAACATCCTTGTAAATCTTTTCTGAACCCTCTCCATTTTAATAATATCCTCCTTATAGCAGGGTGACCGGAACTATACACAGTGCTCCAAAAGTGGCCTCACCAACATCCTGTACAATTTCAACATGACATTCCAACCATGATACTCAGTGGTGTGAGCAATGAAGGCGAACGTGCTAAATGCCTTCTTAACCACCCTGTCTGCTTGTGATGCAACTTTCAAAGAACTGTGTACTGAAACCCTTTGGTCTCTGTTTGAAAACACCCACCCAGGGCCCTGCCATTAACTGTATAAGTCCTGCCCTTGTTTGCTTTACCAAAATGCAACACTTCACGTTTTATTCAAATTAAACTCTATCTGCCACTCCTTAGCCCATTGGCCCAATTGATTAAGATTCCTTTGTATTCTTAGATAACCTCCTTCACTGTCCACTATACCACTAATTTTGGTGTCATTCACAAACTTACTAACCGTGCCTCCTAAATTCTCATCCAAATCATTTATATGAATGACAAACAACAGTGGACCCAGCACTGATCCCTGTGGAACACCGCTGGTCTTTGCCCTCCAGTCTGAAAAACAACCCTCCATCACCACCCTCTGTCTCATACCATTCAAGCCAATCTTGTATCCAATTGGCAAGCTCTTCCGAATCCCATGTGATCTAACTTTACTAAACAGTCTACTATACGCATCCTTGTTAAAGGCTTTATTCGAATCCATCGTCTACCTCTCTGCCCTCATCTATCTTTTTGGTCACATCCTCAAAAAACTGAATCAAGTTTGAGAGACACGATTTCCCACGCACAGGCTGTCTGTCCTTAATCAGCCTTGCCTCTCCAAATGCATGTAAGTCCAATATCTCAGAATCCCCAGTATGCAACCACAGAACCTATGATAAAGCTTTCTTAAATGAATTATTTCAGCTGCAGAAACATGTATGATAGTAAGTAGGATCCTGCTAGAGCAACTTGCTTTGCAGTATTGGTAAAGTATTGAAGTGCTGCTGCATAGAACCATAGAATTCTGGTTACTGCTTCGAGTTCCAGTTCGCATTTTGACAAGACACATTTTTGAATGAGCCATTAGCATATCTGCTGTTTTGTTTCCTGAATTGTATGGCACTTGAGCCATGTTACAATATATGTGATGAAGGAGGCACTGCCAGTGGTGTCTTCTGGTTCGTCGCAAGGAAACGATCCTCGTGCAGATGGAGCACAGAGAGAGAGAGAGACAGCCAGCATGGAAAATGTAATGTTTCTGAAATCTTGAATATACATTTGCATGATTGCTTGCATGATGCACTGCAATTGTGACTTCAGTCTCTTTGCATTATCAAGATAAAAGCTGTTCGCCGTTTGCTTCAAACCAAATAAGCCATTCTTTTAAAGCATTTGATGTTCAGATTTTACAGCCTGAATTCCAACAGATTGTAATTGAGTTGAATTTGTTGAATAGTGCTTCTTCTTAAACAGCTAATTTTTAGCATAATACCATCATTCAAACTGTCAAGGCCAACTTTTCACAGCTGGATGATTCGATCAAAAAACGCATTTCTGTATTCTTGTATGTATTTCTACTTTGATTTAATAGTTGCATAGAAACTTCATGTTACACTTCCATGATTGCTACCTTTCATTTAACATATTTCCTTTCTTTGTCCATGTGATTTGAATAATATCACCTTTCCTTGCTCTGTATTATTCAGTCAATGGGTCAGATTTTGGAAGTTTTCTAGCCTATATGCTTTTTTCACTTACTTGATGCTCTATGCCAAAACACTCTTAAGTTACTCTCTTCTTCATACTCTCTCACACATGTATACTCTTTATATGCATATACTAAACATATGCGTGCTAAGTTTATTAATTTCTAGACTATTGCTAATTCATCCATAATGTTTCTCTTAACGAATTTCTAATCAATTTAAGTAATATATAGCACAAATGAAGATGGTTTTTGTCATTCAAGGTCAATCATCCCAGTCTGAGATATCACTACGGGTGTTCTCAGAATGGTGTCCAATTTCAGGCGTCTTCAGCTGCTTCATTATTTACTTTTTGTTCATCATAAGATCAGAAGTGGGATGTTCGCTAATAGTTACACAATAATGTTCAGCACCATTTGCAATCATCGGATACTAAAGTAGCCCATGCCCAGATGCAGCAGTACCTGGACAAGGTCTAGATTTGGGCTGATAAGTTGTAAGTAACATTCATGTCCCACAAGTGTCAGGCAATGACCATCTCCAGAAGGGAGACTTTACCCATCTTCCTTTGACATTCAATGGCAGTACCATTGCTGAATCACCCACTATCAGCATCATGGGCATTACCATTGACTGAACCAGGACAAAACAGCTTGTTTTATTAACACCTCATCCAGAAACATAGTCCCTCCACCGCCACCACTCAGCAGCAGTGTGTTCCATCTGTAAGATGTACGGCAGAAAGTCACCAAGCCTTCTAAGCACTTTCCAAACCCATAAACACTGACATAGGAGATAAGGTCAGTCGACATATGGAAACGCCACCACCTGCAAGTTCCCTTCCAAATCACTGGCCATCCTGACTTGGAAATTCATTATCATTCCTTCAGGGTTTCTGGGTCAAAATACTGAAACTCCTGCTCTATAGCATTGTGTGTTTGCCTACACAAATTGAACTGCAATGGTTCAAGAAGCAGCTCGCCACCATTTCTCAAGGGCAACTAGAGATAGGCACTAAATGCTAGCCTAGCCAGTGATGCCAGCATCCCATGAATGAATTTTTTTTAAAAATCCACAAAAAATGAAGAAAAGATATGAGCAAAAAAGAACAACATAGTGCAGCTGCCCTAAAATCAAAATGAATGAAGGAAGTAATTTTCAAGTTGAATTATGCAAACTTTAGCTTCAGAAAGAAATTTACAGTCGGCTAGCTGTGGATCAGTTATATGTGCATTTTAAAAGGGCAAATTGAATGCCAGGAATACAGCTTGGGTGAGGCTTTGAAATTTGACATTGTGCCTATTTTGAATGATTTACTCCAGGTAATCGCGATCTGCATTCACTGGTAATGCAGCCTTCTCTTGTGTACCAAAAGCTTTGGATGCATAACTCATTTTGCTGTGAGCTAGGTATTCAGTTGCCCAGCTGATTTTTGAGCATAACGTATTCGTTACGTTTGGAGCCTTGTAAAATTAATGTTATGCTTTAATCCTTATGAAAAATGAGATATGTTAGTGCTTGTTAACGGAGTCCACACCACCTAACCCATGCAAATTATGGGAAATTGCTGAAATTAACTAAATACTGCTAATGGTTTGCCATTACTGTGGGAGTCAGTTATCAAGAGAGTTCTTATGTTGCATTGTGCATGTTAGCTTTTTGGGCCTATTTTATTCCCCATACTCAACCGTTTGACACTTCTGATTTCAGCCAATGCCAGCTCTTCAAACAGTTTCAATCTGGGTCTCACACTTCGTTAAATTGAGATTAGTTTAACAGAGAGGCTTTTTTCTTAAAAACATGAAGGTTAATTTCAAAACAGTTTCTTCTGCAGCATCTTGGTATGCCTCATTACATTTGCTATAAATATTGTGAATATTAACTAATTGTCAAATAAACAGCCTGATTTTTATTGATAAATTTCTTGAGGTAACTGCTAAAAGTTAAAGAAAATGCCAAGTGAAATGTCTTGCTTTTGAAGAATATGTTGGTTACTTACCTTTTTGCCTTTACTGCATATATTGGGTAAATTGCATCAACTCCAGCACGTCCACCTTGATCACTGAAGTCTCTTAATATAAGGACTCCAGGAAAATATGCAGCAGTACATTTCAAGGTTGCCCCACGTGTTGCAGATCAGTTGACATGAACTTTTATTCTTGGATTGTGGGAGAAACTGACATTTGTTGTGACCTTGTACCCAATAGCCATCCTCTATCATGAAGAAGAGAATGGGTATCAGATTGAAGTCATGGTGCTGCTGTGACAATGCAGGAAAGAATTACAATGTTGCAACTTCAGCTTTATCTAGAATGTTATTCCTTGAGATGTATCTATCTTTCGTACAGTAGGCTCATTTCACAAACTTTTCTAGTGAGTAGCAGAATCATGAAACTAGCAAATTCCTGATTTGATCTTGCATTTATAATTAATTAATTAATATCAGCCAGGGTAGCATTTAGACCTCATTGTCCTCTGTGCCTTTGCTGTGGGGTTGAAAATATGATCAGGATTCCCTTTCTTAGTTGTTATCCAGTACCCTTGCTAGAAATACACATAAGGAAATTAGGTGAGAATACTAGCCCCTATAATCCCTTCTAGGTAAAAATAGCCTGAAAAGGACTTGCTGTCTCTTGGGCATAAGTGTAAACAAAGCAAACAGTATAAGAACTAACCAGGAGACAATCCTTTAGGGTAGAAAATGGACAAAAGAAGTGTTATTTCTTTGTTTCTGCACCATCATTGATAAAGAAATGTGTTCATGAAAGTTATTTGCATTTTAAATAGTCA